TGTTAATACCCTGCCAACACTGATGGGAAATTTGCAACAAAAAAAAAAAAAAATAAAAATTGGTTGTTTGTTTGTGATCCGGTTGTTTTAAATTACTGCAAATCAGGATTCTTGAAAAAAAAAACAGAAAATTAAAGCATTTTTCTGACTTTCACGATCTGCAGAAAGCAACAACGACACATTTTTCGGTTTTCGTTCAATGCAAAATGGATTTATTTTTGGAAAATAAAATTCATTTTTAGTTATCGTCATCATCATCATTATTCTCGTTATTTAACTATATATGAAAAGGAATATTGTCAATTAATGGCTTTTTTTGTTAATGGAGGCAAAAAAAAGGAATTTTATTTTTGTTTTTAGTTTAATCTAGTTTTGAACAACAACAGCAGCAGCAGAATGAGGACAAATTGAAATGCAAATAAAGTTTTTCAAAATCAATTTTTTTTGTTTATCTCATTTGATCAAAAATAAGCAAATAATATGAATCCAGATGAACATTCGATATGTGTTTATCGAAACAAAACAAAACAAACAAAAATCCATTATTGTTTTTAGATTTCTTCTTTACTTAATAACATTTCATTTTTCATCATCATCATCATCATCATAATAATAATTTTAACAAATGTTTATAAATACAATGACATATAGACATAACAAAATATTTTGCATGACATTTTCTTTTTGTTGCAAACTAACACAACATTCTTTGTTGCATTTTCAATTCGTTCAATGTTTATTTTTGAATATATAAAATTAGAAAGAAAACAAAAACAAAAATTCCTAATCTTCAACAACAAACGACAAAGATGATGATAATGTTTTTTTTGGCAACTGAAATTATTCCTGGATAGATTCTACTGTGGATGATGATGATGATGTTATTAGATTTTTTTTTTCTTGGTTTAAATTTAACTGATGATGTTGATGATTAAAAACGAGTTTTTTTTCCATACTAAAAAGATTTTTGTTTTTTTCCTTGTAAAGTGATTGATTGAGTGTATAGTTCGTTCATTCGCATTTGTGTGTGTGTGTGTGTTATTCCAAAATTCTTGTAAAATTGTTTTTTTTACTTTTAAAAATTATCATTCTTATCATTATCATTTACAAAATAATGGCCGATAATAAACAACAAGAGGAAAAATCAATAGAATCAATGACAATATTGAAAACATCATCATCGCCATCAACAATCAATAATAATAATAATGTTTTACCAGTAAAATCTATATTGAAAACATCAACAACAACAACAACATCTAATGATGATGATAATCTTGATGAAGATGATGAAGAATATGAATATGAAGAATATGAAGTTGATGAAGATGAAGAAATTGATGATGATAATGATAATAATAATCAAATTCAAAATTTACAATCAACAAAACAATCAATTAATCCAAAAACAATTATCAATCAAAATGAACAACAACAAAAAATAACAACAAATATTGAAGATGAAAATGAAGAAGAATATGAAGATGAAGAAATTGAATATGAAGAAGAAGAAGAAGTAGAAGTAGAAATCGAAGAAGATGATGATGAATATGATAATGTTGCTAATAAAATTGATGAATTAATTAATAAAACAAGCGATTTAAAACAAGAATCTTGTTTAAATAAATCTGAAATTGATAAAAAATTTATAACAACAGATAATACTAATCAACAACCAAAACAAATTCAAACAGTATCATCATTTACAAATGAATTTAATAAATCAAATGATGATCATAATGTTGGTAATAAATTTAAAGATGAATTTGATATTAATGATGATCAAATAGCCGCATCATCATTAAAACATGCATCAAATAAATGGAATATTTCTGATTTAAATGATGATGATGATAATAATGATAATCCTGTTGTTGCTTTCAATAAAGGTATGTATGATCAATGAAAAAATTTGATAAATTTTCTTATTTTCGATAAACAAACAAAACCAAACTTGTACAGGAAAACCACTTGTAACCAATTTGGATAGTGATGATGATGATGATGATTCATTCAATAAATATAGAACAAAAAATCCAATCATACAACAAAAATTAAAAATACATAATGCTATACAGGCTAATAAAAAAATGAAACAACAACAACAACAACAACAATCCAATAATGATGATTATGATCAAGAAGATGAAGAAGAAATTGGTGAAATTGAAGTTGCATTAGAAGAAAATTTTATTGAAGAAGAAGATGAAAATGTTGAAATGGAAGATGATGATGATGATGATGAACAAAAAATTACACCAGAAATGTTATCCGAACAAAATAATCAGGTAAGTTTGTTTGTTTTTTAAAAAATTATAATAAATCAATCTATAAATGAGTCGTACATCATACACAAAACATATATATGTTACATACATAGCAATTACAACGATTATCATTATTTCGACCAACAATGTTTGAAAACCAACGATCAATATCACCATCAAGTTTAATATTGGAACAAATTTATCAAACAATTTTGGATAGAAAAATTGATCAGTTGCAAATATTATTGGAAAATATGCCCAATTTTTTTATCGATTCTATACTAAGATCTGGTTGGACTGCATTAATGTATTCTGCATATTTTGCTTTTCCTGAATTTGTTCAATTCTGTTTGAAACGTGGTGCTGATCCAAATTATTATAATGGTAGTAGTTAGTTAGTTATTAGTAATTTTAATGAATATTGATTTTTGTGAATAATTATAATATGCTTTTGCCAAAACAAAACAAAACAAAACTACATAGATAAAATGACACCTTTATTGGCTGTTTGTTTATCAAGAAATACGAATGAAACACAAATATTACATTGCATGCAGCTATTGCTTGATAATGGTGCACGTTTGGAAATCAATGATCATTATGGCCATTCATCATCATCATCATCATTATTATTATTACATAATGCTGCACGTTTGGGTTTAAATAGATTGATTAAATATCTTTGTCATAATGGTATCGATATTAATCGTATTGATAATCATGGTTTTACTGTAAGATATACAAATTCAATTTGTTTTCGTTTTTGATGTTTAAAACAAAAAAATATTTTCAGGCACTACATTATGCTGTTATTGAAAATCAAAAACAAGTAATTGAAACATTGCTGAAACAAAAATTGATTAAAACTGATATACAAAATAATGATGGCATGACTGCTTGTCAATTAGCTAAATCAATGAATAATTATGAAGTAATAATGATTACACGACTCAATTTGATTGATTTTTTAAAAAATGAAAATAATTTTTTTTAATCTGAATGTTTTTTTTTTGTTTTATTCTTTTATTCTTTCTCAACTACATTAGATTGCTGATATTCTACATCAGGCTAATAATAACAAAGACATTTCAAAGGCGATTCCAAATAGCCAATTACAACGAAAAAAATTTGCTGAAAATTTTATTGAAAATATTATTGCTGATGCTGCTACAGTTGTTGCTGCTACTGCTACTGCTGCAATCCAAAGAAATGATTCAATATCGTATCGAACAATGTTGGTTGATGATAATTCCTATAATAATATTGGTCCAGAAATTAAAATTGATTCATGTCCAACATTATTATCATCACAATCGATTGATGATAATGAAAATGAAAATAATAATAATGATAATGAAATTGTACCAGAATTCGCTCTGAATACACAGATAACTGATCTTTCCAAAAAATATTCAATCGATTTATCATCTAGTTTACATCCATCATCAGCAGCTAATATTCATCAATATGCAATCAATAATAATAATAATGATAGAGTAAATGGTCAATGGCAAATTTTATTTGGTCATCTTTTATTAACATTTTTTGTTTATGTTTTATATAAAACAATACGACAGATATTTTTCTGAATCAGAAAAAAAAGTTAATTTTAATATTTCAATCAACTAAATTAATCAACGATTAACACAAAATTCAAGATTCAATCACCATATTACAGAATCACAGAATTATTATTATTATTAAACAAAAACAAAACCAAAAACTTGTAACAACATTATAAATCAATTTAATTAATTAATCAATAATAAAAATAATGATTTTTTAAACGATTTGATGAATTTTGTAATAATGTTTTTAATTGATTTGATAATGTAAAACAAGGTCCATCCGGTATCATACGATTCATTAAATTATTTGATGATGATGATGTTGTTGATGTTGATGATGATGATGTTGATGTCGATGATGATTGAATAATGTTATTATTATTATTATTAAAATTATTATGATCATTTAGAAAATCTTCAACTTCAATATTGGCAATTGTTTCTTCAATAATATTATCAAAATAATTTGATTTTTCAATATTTTGATGATTACCATTGATAATAACATCATCATCGATATTATCATCAAAATCTGAATCATCATCATTATTATCATCATCACTATCGGTTAAATCATTTGATGGTATCCATTGATTTGATAATAATAATTCATTTGAATGATATCGATTATCGATTGTTTCGTTCATCATTTGTTTATGATTAGCATTTGGAATAAAATGTTTACTAACAGAAAGATAATCAGTATCTTCAAATCTATTTTGATTATCTTGATTATTATTAATATTAAATAAATTGGCAACCATTTCTAATTGTTTATCAACATTTGATATTTTACAATGATTTTTATCCAATGAATAACAATAATTTTGTTGATCCAATAATGTTGTTGTTGTTGTTGATAATGATGTTGATGATGATAATAAACGATTTGTTTTTTTCCATTGTCGTAAACTATGACGATTAAATATATTTGATTCTTGTTGTTCAGAATAATCTAGAGAAAGAAAAAAAAACGTTATCATAAAAAATTAAAATAATTCTTCCCTCCAAAAAAACAACTCACGTTTACAATTTAAAATTTTATAACGTTCATCATCAGTTAAGCCTGCATTTGGTGTTGAACGTTTTAGTATAAAATTCTGATCATAACCATTTGAAAATTGTTGTTGTTGTTGTTCATTTGTTTCATTATGGCCATTATTATTATTAAAATAATGTTCTAAAAATTTACGAAAACTTTTACGTTTATTAACAGTTTTTGATTGTTTTGGTTGTTGATTAAGTTTTTTTGTTGAAATTGTTGTTAAATTCATTTCACTATATGATAAATTTTTACCAATTTTCAATTGATCCTGATGATGTGATTTGATTTTCAATGATTTTTGATTTTGATTATTATCATTATGCACACCTGTTGTTGCACTATCCGATTTAGATGTTTCAAAATTAAAATAACGTAAAGTATTATTTGGTGAACATTCTAATTCTTGTTGTAAACGATTATGAATACGTTCATTTAAAAATTCAAATGATAAATATTGTTCCAATAAATTTGTTGTTGATGATGGATTTTGTATTGGTCGTTTTAAATACCATGGATTATCTAAAAAATTTTGTATTTTTGTATTTTTTAATTTTAATTTATTTAAATAATTTGTATCAAAATTTGATATTGAACGTTTTATTTTCATATTTTTAACAATTTCTTCTTCTTCTCGTTGTTGTTGTTGTTTTAATAATTGTTTTCGATTATTAATATCTAACAATATTGAAATTTGTAAAAAGAAAAAAAATTTTACAAATAAAAATTTTACAATTTACAAATTTCCAAATAAACTTACCATTTCGTATGGGAACATTTACCATATCATTATCAATGTTTATTGATGATTGTTGTTTATTATTCATAAACTGTGATTGACGATTTTTAATACGATGAATTTTAGCTGCTACACCATTAATTGGACAGATATTTGTTCCTGTATTATTATTATTATTATTATGATTTGATAATGATTCTATTGATGATGAATTATAATGATAATCATTATTATTATCATTATTAATAAGATTTATTTCACTTTGGCACAATCGTTGTAAAGATGATGATGATGATTGTTGTTGTTCTGCTGGTTGTTGTTGTTGATAATCATTTAATAATTGTTGAATTGGTCGAATGTGATTTTGACGCTAAATTCACAAAATGTCATGACAGAAGAGAAAATTATTAATAATTTTTTTTCATAAATTTTGAATGAAATGAAAATTTAATTTATAAAAATAGAATTTTCACACAGACAAATAGGAAAAACCATACTGTTTTTTTTTATATTCAATAATGAAAAAAATTACAATTTTTTTTCAAACAAACAAACAATATTTACACACATAATAAATTTAATTTGTGGTCAACAACAACAACAATTTTCCTTTTTACCTGAATGACCTATTCTTCTTCGAAGTTTTTTTTTCAAAAAAAAAGCCAAAAATATCAAAAGTGAACAACAACAGCAACAGAAAAATGAAAAGTTTCAGGTATATTGTCTGATCACGATTTTCAATTTTTTTTTTTGAATTCCCAAGCATAGTTATTTAATAATGATAATGAAGAAGAAAAACATTAATGTTACTCATCATGAAATTAGCATATAATTATCATGTTGTTTTGGCCAACAAAAATGTTCACATTAACCGTTATGATTAAATCGATCAACAACCAAACTGACCATGATTGTTGTTAGATTCTTTTGGACATCTGTATAACACTCCTAATGACTGAATGAAATTTTTCACATCATTAATCAAATTATTTCGCATAAGAATTTTCAGGGATATCATTGGATGATCCCAATGAAGAAAATTAAGTTGTTTTTGTGTTAATCATCAAATGTATCCAACAAACACACCTATTATAATGTAATTGAAAAAAAATAAGTGATAAGATCTGTGATGAAAAGATAAAAATTTGATTTTTTTTATGCAGGTCAAGTCAATCCTTTCATCATTTTAGTTTCACAACAACAACAACAATGACCATTCATTATAAATCAATCAATCAAAAAATAAAAAAATCCGGAAAATTGAAAGTGACAAAAAAAAAATCTTCTATTCAATCAACGATCCAAAAAAGAAAAAATCCAAAGAAACGACAGTAAAGTTCATTTCAATTTTGGAAAAATTTTTTAAAAGTTTGAAAACTTCACGAATAAAAATTTGGAAATTTAACAATCAACATTTGAAAAAAAACGAACGAACGAACGTACAAACGAATTGAATGAAAACGTCGACCGGAGAAGAAAAAGTGTTAATTTTTCGTTTTATTTTGTCGGCACGAATTATCATCATCATTATGATAAAATCTTATTGAATTTTTCATATTTTTTTTTTCGTTGAAAAGATTTTGATAAGTTAAGTAGAAAATGAAACGTGTTTCTTTCTGGCAACAGACTTTTCAATTTATCCGGCTAATTCGTTAACGACGACGACGACGACAGACGAAAACAACAACAATGTTAACAATTCAAAATGATTATATATGCAATCAACAATCAACAACGATTCAATGATGACCTAGTAAAATTTTTTTTCAACTTTAAACCAAACAAACAAATCTGAATATTAATTATTGTTTATTATGCAAATTAATTGTAACCGGTCGGTAAATAATTTAAATTTGAAAGAAACAAAAAATTCAATTTTATAATTAAACAAGCCTATAAACTGCCTAAAATAATGATAATATGTATGATGATAATAATCTTATACACAGAAAGAATGAAAGATTTAAAATATGTGATTAAAAAAAAGGTGAATAAATTGCCCTTAAACTATATACAATGATGATAATCATGATCATAATCGTTGAAAATGATATTGTGATGGACAAAACCTTTCATTCATTGATTATCATGCATCAAAAATTCAACAAACACTGCTATCAAATAAACACCCAATCAATCCATGTTATGGATATCTATTATATATACCTGTTCAACAAATAAAGAAAAATAAAGATTATTGAGGTGTGGATGAATGACAAGTATGACAAGATAAACCAAAAAAAAAAACATTGAATCATCAAAATGTCAGCAAAATGATGATACTAATAATAAAATTTTTTCAAATGAAAGCAAATCAAAATTGAGAAACAAAAAAAAACAACAACCGATCAAAATGATTTGGTATGGCGAATAGAATGGAATACAAAACGGGTTGAAAACAAGAAGAAGAAAATTATATTTAGTTGGTCAATTGGTTGGTTGGTTGGTTAGTTGATTCGACCAAATGATAATCCAAGTTGGTCTGTGATAACTGCGGGTCTGAGTCTTTAATTTTGAAAGAAAAAAAATGAAAAAAATCTTAAATATTGTTAAATACACCTACACGAATACAAACTTTATTTAATCTTTAAAAACTAATCTTTTTTCTTCTTCTTCTTCTTCTTCTTTTTGGGTATTTAAACATTTGTAAGATTTGTGTTTTTTTTTTTTGTAAGATAACTTGTTGCTGATGATGATGATGATGATAATTATATAATCATTAAGATTTTTTTTTTAAAAAATTTTAAATAGAAAAAAATCTTGTCCAGTTGTTATTTACAGATATTTTGTAAAGATATTTTGTAAAATGCATAATCATCATCTAATGATGATTGTATTGAGATTTTTTTATTTTCTACTTTTCCATTTTTTTGATTTAAATTTGCATGCAATGCATGTTTGTTTTTTTATAAAGGTTTTCTTCTCCTCTTCAGCCATCAAATTGGCTACCTGATTTAAATTTCAATTTGATGGATGTTTAAACAAAATGGAAACAAAACAAANAGACGTTTGAGGTGTGGATGAATGAAAAGTATGACAAGAAAAACCAAAAAAAAAAAAAAAACATTAAATCATCAAAATGTCTGCAAAATGATGATACTAATAATAAAATTTTTTCAAATGAAGGCAAATCAAAATTGAGAAACAAAAAACAAAAACAACCGATCAAAATGATTTGATATGGTGAATATAGAATGGAATAGAAAACGGGTTGAATACAAGAAGAAAGAAAATTATATTTAGTTGGTCAATTGGTTGGTTGGTTGGTTGATTCGACAAAATGATAATCCAAGTTGGTCTATGATAACTGTGGGTCTGAGTCTTTAATTTTGAAGAAAGCCAAAAAAAAAAATCTTAAATATTGTTAAATACACCTACACGAATACAAACTTTTCAATCTTTTAAACTAATCTTTTCTTCTTCTTCTTCTTTTTGGGTATTTAAACATTTGTAAGATTTATGTATGTTTTTTTTTGTAAGATAACTTGTTGCTGATGATGATGATGATGATGATAATTATATAATCATTAAGATTTTTTTTATAATTTTAAATAGAAAAAAAAATCTTGTCCAGTTGTTATTTACAGATATTTTGTAAAGATATTTTGTAAAATGCATAATCATCATCTAATGATGATTGTATTGAGATTTTTTTATTTTCTACTTTTCCATTTTTTTGATTTAAATTTGCATGCAATGCATGTTTGTTTTTTTATAAAGGTTTTCTTCTCCTCTTCAGCCATCAAATTGGCTACCTGATTTAAATTTCAATTTGATGGATGTTTAAACAAAATGGAAACAAAACAAAACATGGACAATCAAAATGGGAATGCCTCGCCCGAATTTTGTTATTTGCAAGATAATTTTTTTTTTCTTCTGTTTGTTTGCTAAAAGATTTTATAAATGAAAAACAAAAAATTTAATCAAATTACATGAAAATTGATTGAATGAATGACCTAGTCGTCAGTGCTACTTGGGCAAACAAATTCTTTAGGTCATTCTTATCATTTTTTTTTCTTCTCAATTTTGAATCAAAAATCCTGAAAACAGAACAAAACAAAAACAAAAAAAAAACATTCGAAAATTGTTCATGTCAAATCAAAATATCAGTCGATAAATAAAGACAATGTTATTATCGTTTGTTTGTCTGTGTGTGTCGTGTTTGGTACCAATTTTTACCGAAAAAAGTTCAAAAGTATTTTTACAATAATTTTAAAATGAATATCTCCAACAACAACAGTAGAAAAAAATTCACCTGTTTTCAGGCTGTTATTTTTATCTTCGAATAAAAATTGTTTGAATTTTTTTTTCAAATTGATCTTTTGAAAGTTTGGCTCGATATATATGTGTGTGTTTTTCTCACATCAACACAATGAACTAAAAATATTTTTTTTTTGTTTTGATTTTCAAACAAGAAAAAATGTCACACACACACACATACACAATCAAATTGTCATCAAAAAAATGACGAAAACGAATGTAATTTATCTAAAACTAAATCAACAACAACAACAAAGAATTAAATCAAATCAAATCTTTGCCAAATTTTTCATTCTTTCTTTCTTTTTTGGATTGCCATATAACACCCGCGCAATTTTAAACAGAAAATTTAATGAAAAAAAAGCAAAAATTTCAATTGAATTGAATTTTTGTGACTGAGAAGATAATGAAATCAAATGAAATGTGACGAATGTGATTTTGAATTACTGGATTTGATTTCAAATAACCAGGTTTTCAATCAATTGATCGATTGTTTAATTTCAATTCAATTCAATCGATTGATTGAGAATCGTAATTGTATCGATTTTCGGTTGAATTAACAACAAATAAACTCATTATTATCATCATCATCATCATTATTGGATACAAGCCAGAACAACAATTAGGACAAACAACAACCAAAATAAATAATCAATTATCTGTAAGGATGTGTAAACCCTTGATTGTCTACGTGGAAGTTTTTTCATGGCTTGACAACAAGTTTTGTGCTGACTTGGTTTAATGGTTCTGATAAGGTGATATCGATCATCGCCTGATTTAGAGATTTAGCTTATTCAGCTAATCATTTGTACATTGCTTAAATCATCAATAATTGTCACACATAGTTTTGTATTTAAACAGAGTGAATTGTCCTTGTTCGACATGATGGTGTTCAGACACAATCACCTCATCCGCATGCTGGTACATCTCATGCATGTTGTAATTTTGTTAAACTTTCTTCAATAAATATATCTTACAAACAATGTTTCGTCATGATTCTTATAAGCAACATTCCTGATTCACAATCAGAAGCCGTAGATGCAAAAGGATAAATATTAACGTATCCTTATAAGCCAACAGTATGAATCAAGTCGGAGATCAACTGGATGGATTATCGATCGTATGAATTGAACATTGCAGAATTTCGATCGTATGTATGGATTATTGTGAATTGTCGATATTGTGGCAAATCCGAATCAGTCAACAGATTGCAGAAAAAGAAAAGAAAAAAAAATCAAATTGGTTTAGCCTCATGGTCCAATTGAACAATCTAGTGCCAGGTGATTTGTTCTTCCGGATTGATTCCAACGGTTTATGATCTGTAACAATCGTAAATCGTTTTCCTGTCAACCAATACTTCCAATTTTCTATTGCTAATAAGATAGCCAAACATTCCAATTCACTCGCAGAATAATTTTTCTGATACATCTGCAATTTCTTTGAAAAATAACTTATCGGTAGTTCTTCACCATTTGGTTGTTTCTGTTTCAAGACTGCCCCGATTCCGACAGTACTAGCATCCGTATATACCATTGTTTCATATTCCGGATTATAGATTCTCAACACTGGTTCTGACGCCAATATTGATTTTATTTGATCGAAACATTTCTGATGAGCTTCATTCCATTCGAATTTCCTGTTTTTCTCCGTTAATTCGTACAACGGCTGTAATGTTGCGGCACGATTGGGGACAAAACGATGGTAATAATTCACTTGCCCCAAAAATGCTTTCACTCCTTTAGTTGTTTTAGGAGCCTCAGCTTTCAATATTGCCTGAATATTATCATCCAGCGGTTCAATTTTATTTTCAGATATTTGATATCCTAGATACCTGATTCTCCTTTGTCCAAAATGACACTTTGATTTTTTCAACTTTGATCCTTACATATCAAATATTAATTTTTAATTTAAAACAATTGTTAAGGATTGCTCGATCAACAATCATTGAATATTATATTAATGTTAATTAATTAATGTAATTGTTATTACTACTATATATACAGACCATAGTTGACTATTATTAAATATCTTTCTACCACTCTACCAATACTTCTACTGCACTATACTTTAATCAATAACAATTTTAAAATTTTTTTTTTGAAAAATTGAATTTAAAACTGCCAATGATAAAAAAAGCCATTGACCGATTCACAATGCTAATGATGATGATACAAACGAAAAAAAAAATCGAAAACCAATAACCAAATAATCATATGGATGGATATTACCATCATACTGATCATCATCATTATCCTTTTTTTTTATTGTTGTTGTTGTTGTTCGAATCGGATGTTGTTGTTGTCGCTGTTATTTTTTTTTTTGGGATTATATTGATTGAATCGATTGATTGATTGATTGAACAATCGATTTTTTTTGTTTTTGTTTTAAATTTATCTTTCCTCTCTCTCCCTCATATTAATACTTATTATCTTTCTTGATTGATTTTCTGCTTTTTTTTCGTTCTCTGGTTTTCTATACACACACACACACACACACAAACACAAATCCTGATCTGGATAATCCATTCTAATCTATAATCAATCAATCGATTGATCAATCGATTTTGTAACAAAAAAAAACAATCTTTATAAATATGTAAATATGAAATTTATAAATAATAATTATCTTAAAATGCTTTGGACATGATCAAAAAAACAAAAATCTGATGAATTTTTTTATATTTTTGTTTTATCAAAATTATTATCATCATCATCATTATAAAATGTATGCCAAACATATTTTCTTGGTTTTTTATCATCAAAAATCAGATAAACAACTAGCAAACAAAGAGAATTGACTAGAAAATAAACAACAGATAAAAATAAACCATTCTTCAAACAAAAACTTAATTTCGCTATCATTATCATCGTTATCATCAAGTTTTTTCTGATGATAACGAAATCATCATCATTATTATCATCAGAATAAAGATGAATGTGAACCAAAAAATATATAAGGTAAAACAAGATCAATCAAATCAACAAACCAGATAAACAAAAAATAAATTATGGTCAATTTTTTAATGAGATTTTCTTTCAAATATCCCTCAAAAACACCAAAAAACAGATTAAATTCATCAAATGTTTGTACATCATCAAACATCATCATTTTGATAAGATCAATAATAATCATAATTAATATGGATAGGAAAAGAAAGATTTAATCATTATATATCGTTGGTACATTTCATTCCATTCATTCCATTTTCACTCTCTCCTTCCTTTCACTTATTCATTCATTTCATTTCATTCATCATAAAACATCCATTATTTGACGTTCGACACGATATTAATATGAATTATTTTTTTTTTTGTAATATGAAATACCCGAAAAAAACAACATTTATTTATTTTTAGCAAGTAAATAATATCTGCTTTCTTTTCAAAATGAAATGATATTTGAACAGGTAAGGTAAAATGAAAAACGAAAACGAAAACTAAGACAAACCTTGATGAAAAGAAAGTTATTATTATTATTTTGATTATTATGATTTTTATTAATATCATCATTGGTTTCCATCGTGATTTGTTTCATTTTGATTTTGATTATATCATCATTATCCATTTTGACATTTTGTTGTTCATGTTGATTTTGATTAAAATCATCATGATTGATTGATAATTTTTGATTTTTATTATCAACAAATATTGATGATGATGTTTGTTGTTGTTGCAGTTGTTTTTTCTGTTGATTCACGCCACGAATCGTACCATTTGATGCTAATATTTTTCCATTTGTTGTTGTACGTAATATTTGATGAAATGATTTTGATCTTGGTAATTGTGATAATGATGGTAAACGAATACCATTATTTAATTTTTTCCATTCAAATGATATTGGATCATTTTCATTTTTTTCCTGATGTTGTTGATAATTTTGATAATAATGATTATTATTACTAAGATTATCAAAATGATCATTTTGATCATGATTAGAAAAAGGAAGATGTTGATGTTGTTGTTGATGACATGATAACATGTATGATGCGAATGCGGATGATGTTTTTGTCGCTGTTGTTGTTGTTGATGATGATGAACCAAATAATTTATGTGAATGGTCATTGACTTTAACAACAGGTGGTGATACGGATACAAATGATGCGGATAATGTTGATGTTGATGATAATGTTGATGATGAAGGCGGTAATGATAAAGATGATAATGTTGATGTTGTTGATGATGATGATGATGATGTTAATGATGGATCAGAAATATTATTATTATTATTACAACAAAAATTTTCATCAACATCATTCATTTTCGGTAATTTTGTTGTTGTTGTTGTCGATGATAAATTTAAATATGGATTAATTAATTCAAATGATGATATTGTATGTGCACCATCATCATTTACAATATCATCATCATCATCATTATTATTACTATTATCATTACAATTATTATCACCGTTATTTACATTTTGATAAATCATACTATCATCATCATCATCATCAGAAGAAGAAGAAGAATCTTGAATAATTATTGATGCATTTTTACAATTTTGAATTCCATTCAATATAAATTGTCGTCGTTGTTGTTGAATTTGATTTAATGTTGAAAACATTTCATCATCATCATTATTATTATCATTTGGAATATAATCACTAATTAATGATTGATATCTACGTTCATTATTCAATGATGATGATGATGATGAATTATTCATTATAAAATGATTATCAGTAACCATATGGTTATTATCATTTGTACAATTTTGTAATGATTCACTAGTTGCTGTATTGCCCATTTTTTTTTTTTGGTTTTGGTTTTGGTTTGTTAAATCAATTTATCACGAATTTTTCAACAACAAAATTTTAAAATCAAAAATAATTTCTTCCAATTCTTGAAACACACACTTTTGGTTGTTGTTGTTGTTTGTCGATGAACATTGAATGATTTTTCAAATAAAATCATGTTGATGATGATTGTTGTTGTTTTATTTAACCGCCGTCGCCGACACGAATAATCTCTTTCTTTCTATTTTCAAAATTCGTTTCTCTCATTCTCTCAGTCGTAGTCGTCTTCTTGTTTCTCACAAATATCTTTCAACAAAATGAAATTACATAACCGAACATAAGGTAAAAACAAAGCAAAGCGAAACAAAACAAAAAAATCTTATAATTTTTTTTTCTTCATCAACGAAAAAAATGATCCGGCTTACTGTTTTTTTTCACCGTGTAAATGCGAATTGAAAGAAGAAGAAGAAAAAAAATGATTATTATTCGTCGTCGTTGATGATCGTCATGCTCTTCGGTTTTGTTGTTGAATGATTTGACCCGAAAGATTCTCAATTTGAATGACTTTTTTTTTCTCTTTTTTTTTCCAATGATGAAGATTTTTTCGTCATCATCATTGGTTGTCTGTTTTTTTTGTTTTGTTTTCGGTTGTCCGGACGATTCGGTTATCGGGTATTTTTTTTTTTTTTGATTTGACTTTTGAGAGAAAGAAAAATTTTTCAAAAAAAAGAAGAAAGAGAGAAAACATAGTTGGAGAAAAAAAAACCCTTTTTGTCGGTCGGCAAATTATTGGTTGCCTGATGATAATGATGATGATGATGATGATGATGATGATAGACAGACACGAAAATCGATTGATTGATCTGGATGATTGTCGTTATTATTATTATTATTACCGGTTATATGTTCACCATTAACGGTTATATTCATCATTTTATTTTTGTTGTTGTTGTTGTTGTTGTTCAAAGTCATTAACTTTTTTGGATTTTTAATCAAGATAATTTTCTTTTCTGTTATTTTGTTCATTGTTGATAGCAATAAAATCGATTGATCAAATCAATTTGATCAATCGATCGAATTCATTTTGATTAATTGTAAACAAACAAGACATTCAACAACAACAACAGCAACAAGTGGTTATCCATTATCCAAACACAGTGGAGGATATCACATGTCATTTTTTTCTGGATTGGTTATAATGATTATTGTGGATTTTATTTCAGCAAAAATATTTATATGAAAAAAAGTTCATTTTAATCAAGGTTATCTTTATTCGAAAAAAAAGGTGTTCATTGAAGCATTGTATCAAAACCCCCAAAACAACAACAACAATGTTGTTGTTGTCTGAATGTGACAATTCATTTCTACAGATTAAGACGGGGAGGGAGAGAGAGAAAGATATCCAAAATACAATGATTATTTGATAGTTTTTTTTATAATTCAAATTTATTTTCTTATTTCAATACAAGATTACAAACGAAAAAAATTAAAAAATAAAAAATATTTCAAGATTCAATTCATATTCAAACGAAGAAATTTATTCATGCAATTCAATTTTTTGATAATGCTTTTCATATGTATGTTTCATTTTTTTTTTCTCGGATCAATTAGCAAAATTATTGTCCAATTTCCTATTCCATTCATCCATTATGATTTTTAATCTATTTAGATGATTATACAGGTCAGATAATGGATTAATGATATCTGATGATATGGTGTTTGGTGGCAATAAGTTTGTTGTTGTTGCTATTGTTGATAATTCATTTTTTTCATTTGAATTTTTATGAAAAATTTCCCGTATTTTATCATTAATATTATCGATAATTTTCTGAAATGATTTACAAATTTCTGCAATATTTTCTTTATAATTGATTATTATTTGATGATCATCATTATCGATTGTATTAATAATAATTTTCAATTGATTATCAATATCATTATTGATTGTTTCAAATTTTGAATAATCTAAATGTTTGATATTGGATAATGATAATGATGATGGTGGCGGGGGTAATAAATCTGGACGTTGAATAGAATCATTTCCATCATCATCATCAATATAATCGACAAGTTTTCCGAATTCTTTGATTGATATTTCAATATTTCGTATTGGATTTTTATCATCTTCTATTTTGGTTCGAAAAAAATCATTATTATTTTGAATTTGTTTTTGAAGCAGAATTTGCTGAATTTTTAAATCATTTTTTCGAAATTTTTCAACCAAATATGTTAACAAATGATTTAATAATAATGGATTTTTACGTATAGTTTTTTCCAATTGATAATGATCAAATTCAATTTTAAATTCTAAACTAGCCCAACGAATAACGTTGGTAATCAAAAGATTTTGATCAATTTTAAATTTTTGTTGTTGATTTGATTTGGACATTTTTTTTCATTAAAAAATGGTTATGATAAACAAAACAGAAAAAAGAAAAACTAATAAGAAAATGTGCGAAAAAATATTTTTTATTTAAATAAAATTAATAATAACAACAACAACAACAAAATCAATCAAACAGATATTAGTAATGGGCAAACAGTTTAAATGTGTGTGTAATTGATTGATTGAAACAAAAACAAAACAAAACAAACAGAATCAACAAACAAATAATGTGATTTAACAACCGAAAAAAAGAAAGAATGAAAGAAATTTTATCAAAGGATTATATAATAATGTGTTTGTTTGTTTGAACACTTTTATTTTTCTTCGTTTCTTCAGAATATTGATTGATTGATTATGACCACCATAATAATTGTGAAACATGTTCAGAATAATTTCCATCAATTAAAAATGTAAGTTTATATTTTAATTTATATTGTATGGAAGAATGATGTCTATTTGATTCTTGTGTTTGAAAATGTTGTTGATCATCATGATCATGATCATTATTGATAATTGATGAATTTGGCTGTTGTTGTTGTTGTTGATTGACAATATCCTTATTATTATGATTATTAATAAAATAATTTCTATCACAAGCAATCAACATAACTTGACTGATAAATATTTCGGGAAAATTTTGGCCATTTTTTAATCCAGGTAATGTTGAACCAGTTTGATATTGTAATTTAACTTTCATACGCTATTTTATGAATTGAATGAGAATGAAGAATTTTTTTGTAAATATTAAATAAATAAATAAAATTCCATTACAAAATTTATAATTACCTTCGGTACAGCAGCCCAAAAATGAATATCATTTATTGTTGATTGATTATAATTAGTAAATGTTAATAGAAAAACTGATACTTGTTGATGTGGTTTGTTATCAGTAAAATGTAAATTAACAACAAGACCATTTTCATTGAATACAATTAATGGTGGTCGCATTTCACGACATGGTTGAATATCTTCATAACAAATTTGATTAATACTGGCAAGTAATTCGGATAAATCTTTAAATTCTTGATTAGGTTGTTGTTGTTGATTATTCATTGATGAAATCATTTTACCATTTTGATGATTATTAAATTTTTTTGGATCATTAGATAGATTTTGTCGTTCAAACATATCGGTCAATTGATTAAGATTTGAATGTGAATCTAATGTTGATAATGTGCGATGATTATTCAATTTTGTTTTTGTTGTTGTTGTTGTTGTTATCAAATCCTGTAACATTGATTCTTGATTACAATTGTTATCATTCAATGAATAATCAAGATCATCATCAATATTTTCTAAAGAAATTCTTTTCGGTGATGCTAATGGTGTTGTATTCAAATCAAGTAATCGTTCTTCTTCCATTGGATTATTGTTATCCAAAACATTATCATAAGTATCAGTTGTTGTTGTTGTTTGTGATAATTTTGGATCATCCAATAATATAAAATATCGTTTACAAGAATTAATTGTCGACATTAACATATCGGATATTTCGATTAATTGTCTTAATTCTTCATGATCATTTTCAGTAATTTGATTAGAAAATCGATATAAACGAAAACGAATTGTTTCACAATTTGTTAATAATTCACGCATAAGTTGTAAATCTTCATCAGTTGTTCCTCGATACACGACTCGTTTAGTTTCACTATCAATTTTTAGATTATTATTCGATTGTATAACCATTTCGTTTAATAAATGTGAACAATTTCGTGCGGATTCTAATTCTGATACAAAATTTGCTTTAAATTGATCACGTGATTCAGCTTTAATTGCTAAATTTTTAATCAATTGATTAGCTTGTTCAGTTCGTCCACTTTCAATTAATGATCGTAATGTTTTTACTGTTTGTTCATCATCAAAAATTTCATGTTTTGGTCTTGGTTTAGGTGGTGTTGGTGGTCGATAATTCTATAATTCAATACGGATGGTTAGAAAATGCATATTTTTTCAATATTGAAATAGAATTTTCAAAAAAAATATACTTACTTTCAATACATGAACAGGATCATCTAAAACTATTTTCTGTACTTTTAACATTTGATATGCTTCAAATATTTTAGGTAATTCTTTAAAATCCATACTCCATTGAAATATTAATTCAATAATACGTTGACCAACTTTAGCTGATGTTTGATGAGCTAGATACTGAATAAAATAGTTAATTATATTGTTGTAAACAAAAATAAACAACTTACTTTAGGTGAAACAATTTTAATAATTTCATTAAGAAAACGAAATTTACCCAATTCATCGGCAATTCGAAAACCACCACGTTTAGCAACTAAATCCAAAACAAATAATGAATGTAATGCTTCACTTTCTTGTGGTGATTGTGCTTTATATGCAAGAAATCGTAATGTTGTATATGGTCCATTTGTTTGTGAATTTGTAACTCGACAAAGTTGATCAATTAATTCATCGGTAATTTTTGTCAATGGATTTGTACAACGTGCTAAACAAATATCCAATTCGGTTAATTCTAATGTTGATGCAGAATTTATCTTTATCGTCTTCGTCGTTGTCGTCGTCGATGAAGATGATGATGGCTGAATTGAATTTGTTTGCATTTTATTGATCACTATTCACTATTGCGTCATAATTGGATTAAATTGAATGGTGTCGATAATTTTAATTGCGAAAAAAAATTTGTTCTTTTTTTTTGCTCGAACCATAAAAAATAACATCAAGTCAGGTGTACCGATGCGCAATCGATTCCTGGACCTAGGCAAACAAAAAAGTCATAGACAAACTCAATTGTGATGATGGTAAAGCCAGTATTATATAGCCATCACAGAATATCATTAAATTTTTTATTTTGTAGAAAAAAAAATTCGATTCGTCGCAAATCATTATCATAATCATAATCAATCATTGATTTATTGATTGTTTCAAATGCCAATTCCAAAAAGAAAGAAATGAATAAACAAACAGACAAAAAAAAATGAAAACAATGTGAATGCATTGTGATTCTATTGATTGAATAATACATTTGTCTCCGTTATCAATTCAGTTTTTTTAAATTATCTTAAGATAATCATCATACATTAATCTATAATCTATTGTATGCGCAAATTTTCAAAATAATTTTAAATTTAAAATGATTTTTATTTATTACAGAAAATAAAAATGAAATTGGAATTAATCATTGCGGATTTTTCGATTCCAAACAAGAATTTCGCTATTTCGACGATAACAGAACCGTTTGAGTGTTTTTGGAATTCGAATGTTTTTTTTTTTGGTCAACCAACACTCTCTTCACACATGTGTTTTCGATCTGTTTTCTAAAATTGAAATTTTCGAAATTAAAACAAAAATCTTGTAATCATCATGGGATTTTTATTTGGACCAGCTCCGATTCGACGTACAATTCCGTATCTTCAAAGTGGTAAACTTATACTGAAAAATCGTGTCAAAATAATGGAAGTTCATTATAATATGTATTGGAAACAATATCGTAAAGATAAAAGTCATCTTTTATATCCACAACATGATGCTCATATTGGTTTACGAGAATTTTATTTTTGGAACATTCCACAGATTCAATATATGAATCCTAATGTACAGATCGTACGATTTTTGGAAATGACACCAAATCCATTTATACGTTGTTGGTTACAAGATGGTAAAGATATTCTATTTGATTGTGATTCACAAACAAAAGAATCGATTATGAAACGATTGATACAAACATTGGGTAAAACTGAAGAACAATTAGAATTCGAAGCAAGTATTAATGTTAAACAAGTTAGCGAAGAAAATGATGCAATTTTTGGTGTGGATCGAAAACGATTCTGTATGTGTGAAGTGCCCGGACAATGTCCATGTCCATCAGTTATTAAATTGCCGAAAAATCTTCGTGGAAAATTTACCAAATATCTTACCGATGATTTGATTAAACAGGAAAAAGAAATTGTTGAAGATGGAAAAGATTTCGAAGATTATCGACCACCACAAATTGCTATTGATCGATTTTTTCAATCATAAAATTCGAATATCATTTCAACATAATCTGGTCAAAAATTGATTTTTCATTTTAAATAAAACATAATTTAATGTTTTATTTATTTATTCTTTTTAATTTTGTAATAAAATAAAAATAAAAGAATTTATTAATAAATAAACATTGTTGTTGTTGTTGTTGTTTTGTCATCGAATCACATGATTATTATAAAATTTAACAATAATTAAATTATTTAAAAACAATAAGGAAAAAAAAGGATTTCAAATATTATGATTTTTGGTCCATTTGAATCGGTTAAAAAGTGTCAGTGTAAATCATGTTAATGTTGATTTTAGAGCGAGAGAGAAAAAAATATGGCAACAGAATTTTAAATCGAGAAACAATAATAAATTGCAAATTTTTTCAGGCTGATTGTTTGATTGTTAGTTAATTTGTTTATGATCACATGTTTTTTTTAAAATGATGATGATAAAATGATAGAATCACAAATGTACAGAGTGAAAGTAAACAATAATAATAATAATTTCACAGGGATAGGAAAAAATCACTTTGTTTGGTTGGTTTAACCGGAAAAATGTCTAGCATATTTTCGATGTCCATTATGATTATTATCATCCGGTGCATATAAATCAACCAAAATCCATGTATATAATTTTTTAAATACTAAATCAACAATTTCATAATGTATATTATTGATACCATCAGTTTTATAACGTTTCCATCCATTATATAATTTTTTAAATCTAAATTTAACAAAATACAAAAAAAAAATTTCAAATTAATGAGAATAAATCAAATCAAATCAACAAATACCTTTCAGCATTTGGTGCTGTATTTTGATGTTTTAACATTTTATATCTAGCAATATCACCGGAATAACGACTAATTTTATAACCATAATGACGTATACGATTTGACCTAATTTTTTGGAAAAAAAAATTTACAAAACAAATTATTCTGATAATGATAATAAAATGGTACTTACATATCATCATCTTCACCACCCCAACCCCAGAATTCATTTGAAAATCCATTTACTTTGATAAATTGATCTTTTGTTAATGCACTTACACCGCCGAATATATCTTTATAAGGTAATCTTTTCAATTGATTGGAGATAGGGAAAATATTGGTTAATCCATTAAATATGAAAATCATCAAATAAAAAAAAATACCTATAACGAAATTTATCAATAGCAACAGACATATGTCTTGGTTGTTCGGGACAAGTATAAAGATTACGATCATCTTCAGGTATTAGATCAACATCATGAAATATAAAACAATCATATGGATATTGTTTGGATGCTTCTAAAAATCCAACATTCATTAATTTTGCTCGATTAAATGATTTGTTGCCATGCTATTATTATGAATATATTTCATTTTAGTTTAAGTTTTGTTAATGGATTTTTTTAATATTCAAATAATCAAACAAACCTGTTCAACAATAAAAATACCATAATCAATATTTTGTCTCATTAACATTGGATGAATATTGAGCAAAAATGTTCGTAAATGATATTCACGATTACGATATGGAACAATAATGGCAACACGATTATTACTATGACAATGTTTAGGTCTAAAACGGCCACCAATTTCAATTTGTGGAAACATTGTTTCCAATTCTTCCATTGGTGGTGGATCGATTAAAACTTTTAATCGTCCAACTAGAAAAAAAACATAAATTGATAAATTTTAAATTATTTTACAATAAATAAATTACAAACCTAAATTTGGTGGAACAATCGGACAATTTGGTAAACTAGAATTAATTGAATTAATCGAATCGATTAGAATTTTATCATTAATAATATTCATCGATAATGTTGATTGAATTGAATTTTTCATTTTCAAATCACCAGTATTATTATTATTATTATTATCTAATAATGATGATGATACTGTTGACGATGATGATGATGATTCAACATCATCAACAACATTATTGTGATCAATAATTGTTCGATTATCCAATATTTCCGATGATGATGATGATTGATTGCTTTCATTATTATTATTATTATTATTATTATTAATGATAATTTTATCACGATGATTATAATTTTGTATTGTTGATGGTTGTCCAATATAATGAAATTGATTAACAATTGTACCATTTGATTTAAATTGTATTACAAATAATATAATAAATAATAATAATAATAAAAAACGTATTGAACGTATATATTTAAAATATAATATAAGACTAGTTGAATATTTTTGTAAAAATAAAATTATTTTATTATTATTATTATAATTATAATGATGATGATTGATGATTGAATTATTTTTTATTTCATCATCATCATTATCAACAATCATTATTGATTGATGATTATTATTGTCGTTGTTGTTGTTGATCATTTTGAATGAAATTGAAGAATTGTTTTCATCACTAACATTATCATCATCATCATCATTATTATTATCGATGATAGAATTTTGATTATGATCATTATCAGTTGCTGTTATTACAGGTATTGGTGATATACGATGATAACGATATGCTTTACCGAATGTTTTTTTCATTGTTAAATAATTTTTTTTGATTTTTGATTTAGGAAAAGGATTTTGAAGCTCGATACTTTGTTTGTTTGTTTGTTGTTATACTATTTTGGTTGTTGTTGTTGTTGTTGATAACCAAGGCAGCAAAAAACACACACACACAATATATTTTTATTAATTTAAGGCAATCAATCAAATGTTGTTACACAACAAAATATGTTTTCATTCATTATAATTTTAAAAAAATCATATTTATCGATTGTTTTATTGATTGATTGATTGATTGATTAGCATCGTCGTTTATATATAAATAATAAAATAGGTTCCAAACAAAATGATGATGATGATAACGGTATCGGATTTTTTTTTAATAAATTTCTTTCAATCAACTAATCAACCAGCCAATCGATCAAACATACACACACACTGATATATGAGATGATCACTTCGATTGCTAATAACCAGACAGAGGAGAGAGGAGAAAAAAGGCCACTTTTCTTAAAATTAATAAATTGACAACGATTTGATGATAAGGATTTTAAAGATTGCTGGTTATTATGATTCTGTTGTTACAAAAAAAAGAAGAAGAAGAAAAAGAAAAATCAAGAGAAAATAATTAAAAAATGAGTATTAATAATGCTAATAAAAATGATGAATGATAAATTTTTTTTTAATAAAAAAATTTTGATAATTGATTGTGTGTATAATCACACAATGTTACAATGTTGTGTTGTAATTTTTTATTATTATTTTTCCAAGATAAAAAAGCCTCATTTTACTTAAATGAAAATCATCATCGTCATCATACAAAAAAACAAATAAAAATAAAATGAATAAATCTTTTCCATTATCCAATGAAAATAATAATAATAATAAAAAAGAAAGAATTAATTTTCTGGAAATAAGATGAATATTAAAGGAAAACCAACGCATAAGACAGTGATAAAAATGACTAACTTATTGACTGTCCATTCTAATATTTGGAAATGGAATAAATTTTACAAGACAAAAACCAAATAAATAAGAGAAAAACATCCTACAACATTTATGTTTGGGGAAGTAAAAGACGAACCAAAAACAGAAACAGTAAAAAAACACCCACCAAAAAAACAAAACGAAAAAATAATTATCATTCATACAAAAAACAATTACAATGATGGTTATTAGCATGATCAAACAATCAAGTATTTAAGGAAAACATTTGAAACGGAACGAAACAGAAGATATAGAAAAATAAAAATGTTGGCCATCAAAAACAACAACAATAAAAAAAGAAGAATGATTAACATTCTTTTTCATTCGGTTGTTTTCAATGATGATGATGAACAATATCAAAAATAGAAATGAAGAAATGAAATACCAATTTTGGATTTTTTGTTTGTTTGTTTGTTGTGGATTTCAACGAAAATATTTAAAACATCCTACGATTGTTTCAGCAAAATCTGAAAACAGAAAAATTCAATGACAATTGAAAATTTAATTAGAATTTTTGTAGTAGGAAGTAGAAGAAAAAAGAAGACATTTTTTTCAAACACAAAAAAAACCAAAGAATTGAAAATCAATCCAAAATCAATATGATGACCTGGTTTTTGTTTGAATTGAAATTGTTTCGAGGTGTGATGGTCGATATTTTTGTTTTTTCATCTATAAATCATCGGATATTTTTTTTTCATTATAACTTTATTTTAGTCTTTTTTTTTGTTATTACAAACAAACAAACAGACAGAGACAGAAAGAAATAAATAAAAAAAAATAAAAGAAAACCTGTGGCTCCCAGTTGGATATATTGCCAATCCGAATAAATAATATTATCTTATTATAATAAAGATATTCATCAATTGAAAATGTGAATGGTGGGTGGTGTTGGTGGTGGTGGTGATGGTGGAAATAGAGAGAAAAAAAATTAATCTTTTTCTCTCGTTTTACAACAAACAACAACAACATTAATCAATCAATCAAATGGTGAAAATCAATGATTTAAAAAAAACAAGCAAATGCGCTAAACTAATCAAAGAAAAAGATGAATGAAAAACCGAACAAAATAGAAATGTTTATGGAAATTAGAGCAAAGACTCTAATTTTCTTTTCTTTCTTTTTTTCGTTGGCCAACTCTTTAACAACAACAAAATTGATGAGAGAGAGATAGAGATGATTTGAACAACAACAAATCAGGTCATTTTTTGAAGAAAAAAAAGATTAAAAACCGATAGACGATATTTGATTCTGAAAAGAAAAGAAAAGAAAATGGATAAAAAATGAGATTCCTAATCTTTTTCGTCGCCCTCAAGATATGGATTTTTTCTGAATGAATCATTTCAATCTTCACAAGATAAGTAGTTATAACCAGCATAGTGAGTGAGAGAAAAATAAGAAATTGCCTGTCAAGAATTAGACTGATCAATCGATCGATATTTTTACTTCTTTTTTTGATTATCATCAAAAGTAGATTTGATTTAATGATGATCTATTTTTTTCATGAACAAAATCTATATTTATAAACATTATTACAATAAACATTATTATTGTATAAATCAAAAGCAAAGAAATGTGTTTGGCTTGATTTGCTTTTGCAAAAAAAATTGGTCTCCGCTTAAATTTGGCTTCAAAGAAAAGCTTTAAGCATGAATCCTGTTCGTACAACATTTGTCACATTTGTAAATAAATCGAATCAAAATTTCATCATATAGTGGTCATAATGGACAGATTTTTGTTGTTCATTTCATGAAAAGATTGCATTTTGATCCCCATCCCAAAAAGAATGAAAAGCAATGAAATTCTTCAAAAAGAAACATCGATCAATAAATGACGAATGAATGAATGAATGAACGATAATAACATGGTACAAAATCGATGTTGATGATGATGATGATTTTTTTCTTTAGCTGTCGAGTGTCGATGATGATGATGATGATAATGCGGTGATGTGGTGATGAAGTGAAGAATGAAGCTAAATGGAAACTTGATTGACAAACAAACAGACAATCATCATTCATTTTTCTCAACAAAAAAAAAATATATTTCTTTAAAATCGATTGGCCAATCGATTTTGATTGTATGTTGTCCTTTTTTTTCTTCTTCTTTTTCGTTGTTAGTAGATTTGAATCGATCATAATTTGATAGAAATATATCTAAAATCGATCATCATCATCATCATCATTTTTATTTCTGTGTCAAGAAATTTCTTCTTTTTTTTCCTTGTCGATCCATAGTTTTTTCATAGTTTTCATTCATTCAATGTGAATGGAATATGGGAAAAAAACTTTTCAATCGAAAAAATATCAATCGAATCGATTCTTTAAAAAAATTTTTTCTTTATCACTATTTCTACCCAAAACAAAACTAAAAATGAGAAGAATAAATATTGATTTTATTTTTCCGGTTAGATTTCACAAACATTATCAAATGATTTTGCACACACACACATACAAGAAACATTCTTTGTATATGTGTGTGTTTAAATTATCAACAGATGGAATTTTCAACCATTGGAAAAAATATTGGAAATATTTTTGTTGTTGCTGTTGTTATTGATCCATACAATTGATTGAAAACATTACATTTCATTTGACACACACAAAACGAATGAATTGTAAATTGTTTTTTTTCTCTATTCATTAGCATTTGTCATAATAATTGTTTTGTTTTACCAAAAATGATTGATGAATGAAAAAATTTCAATGTTGGTGTTTGATTTGATCTGCTGTTTTTGGATCTATATAACAAACAAACAAACAAAATGTTGGCCAAAAATATTTCAAAACTTTTAAGCTTATATATGAATATTTAATTATCGATTTATATGAGATAAACAAGAATTCCAAATAATGTTATGCACAAAAACCTAATCTTTATCATTAGCCAAAAAAACAACAACTAAAAGTTTTTTGTTCATTTTCGGTCGTCGGTGTGGGTGTAAAGATAAATTATTCAAAAGTAAAAACAAAACAAAAAAACAAAACAAAAAAAATTCAAAGATAAGAATATTCTATCATAATGATGATGATGATGATGATGATGAAACAATTTATTCCAGGTAAAACTTTTACCTAATTTCATCCATTCATTTTACCTTATATTATAACTTTAATGAATTAATTAATTAAAATATTTTGTAATCCTTATTATTAACTTTATTATATTGATTCGAGTTTCAATCAATTTGTTGTTGTTTGTTTGTTTGTTTGTTGTTGAATAACTTGAACATCATTTTATCATTATAAAATATTATTGAATGAAAAAATTTTATTATCATTTTTTTTCGTTCAACAAAACATTATCATGAAAATTGACCAAAAAAACATCAATAAAAATGACCATTTCATACCGACATTCACATAACAATCATTAAAAGATCATGAAATTTGAAGAAAAAAAATGGAAAAC